GTAGCTTGTGTTGTTAAAAGTTAAGGGGAGTGCATGTGCCCCACTTTTTAGCAACGAAAACTATGTTGATGATAGTGCTATTAGCAATATAGCCTTTGTTGTTGAAAATTAAAGTGAATAGTTAACCAACCTATTTTCAACAACATAGCTCTTATTGCTAATATTTATTATAATTACACCAATGCGATTTTGAGTAACATACTCCTTGTTGGTAATGCATCAAAATACCTAATAAAAAAATTATACTTACCAATATTCTACACACATTTTTTTTTTTCACTTATATGATAATAAATATATTACATTAATTTTATAGTATTATTATTACATTATTTAAATATGAAATTCACTTTTTTTTTATAATCACCAAATATTAAATCTTTTGATATCCATATATAGCATAAATATTTATTAATTCTATATTATTAAATTTAAATTAATTAACTTAAATTAATTAATGTATGATTAGATATCTTACCAAATTTGAAAATTTTACTTTTTTAAGAATTACCTTCAAAACAAACAAAATAAAAAAATTGTTAGTTACTATATATAATTATTTATAAATATATTAACTTTCAAATAAATTGATATAATGTAATATTTATAAAACTATTTGAGAATTGAAGGAATTTATTCAATTAGTGATATATATGAGAATTTAATGATAACAAAGAACAAGTACAATTAACATGTTAGATAATGGATAAAATGGGTGATCCAATATATGGAAGACGTACATATGCTACAAGAGAAAAAAAAAAAATGAGGTTGGGGGATCTGTAGTAGGCGTGCAGGAGAAGCATGGGGAGGAGGAAGAGTTATTGCAGAACGCATGGGAGATGGACTAGGAGAAAGAATTGAGCAGGAGAAGCAAGGGAGGAGAACTGTGCAATAGCAAAAAAAAAAGAAAAAAGAAAAAAAGAAAATTGCATGCAGAACGCATGGGAGATGGATGGGGGTGGGGGTATATATAGAACATTTAACCACATACACCATGTTGATGAAAGTTTATCACTTTATTGGCAATGTATTCCATGTTGTTAAAACCTATTTGAATTTTAAATCCACCACTCATCAACAACCTATATCATGTTGCTAAAACTCAAAATCACCATTCTCCCGCCACACTACTGAATGATTAAAATTATTATATTTTAATAAATTCCTAATCTTTAAACAATTTATTTTTATATCTAACATTTAATTTATTAGTTGGTTTTGTTTAATTTATTAAATTTTATTTAACACTTAACACATTGATTAATATAATTACATTATTTATTAATACATTTAACTAATTTAAAGCTCTATTTTATCTAAAAAAAAAATATGTGAACATGCATATGAGGCTATATAGACATTTCATATAAAGTTATCGCAATTTTTTTGCCAATAATCGACTTTTATTAAAGAGTCGACTATACTCATCACCTAAAACGTTTTCAACTCTTTAGAATTTATGAGTCAAATGTTTATCATATATAATTGACTCTTAAATGCTTGAGTTCCTAGAGTCAACTCTTTACTGTGTAATAGTTGACTCTTTGTTTAAAAAGTGATGAAGGTGTATATATAATGGCCGAAGAAATGTGTATATATAATAGCCTTGGCCAATTACTGGTCAAAGTGGTAATATCAGCAACATATTCCTTGTTGCTGATGTTTGGTTGGTAAAAAGATAGAAATAACAACAACATAGTATATGTTGCTAATAATTTAGGTGGTTGGAAAAGTTTCAACAACAAAGCTCTTGTTGGTGAAATTCACCAACAAGGGACATCTTGCTGAAAGTGGAAAGTGAAACTCAATTAAGTGGGGAAATGGTTACTGAAAAATAATATTAGCAACATGGGGTATGTTGCTAAAATTTACATCTAAAAGTGAAGCAGCTTTTTAGGGAGAATTAGTGTACTGCACAGTTTTTAGAAACATAGGTCTTGTTGCGAATACAAATTTTTAGCAACAAAGGATCCCATGTTGTTGATATATTATTGTTGAAAGTCAAAATTTTAGTAATACGATTTGAATTCAAAATTTCTTATATTTTCAGTAGAATGAGATAATCACCTAATTATGTAGATCGTTGTTATAACATATTATATAATTGATTAATTTTATTGAATCTATTTGCAATTATTGTAATGTATTTATTTAATAATATATTATGATGATAAACTTATAATTTTATGTATCATTGTAAATATATCATCGTTGTAATTATTTTTAAGAAAATGATATAATTCTAATATTATATAATAAGTTTATAATATCATAAAATAGATATTATAATATATAATTGATTTTTTTATTCATAAATTTATTTGTAATATTATATACATTTACTTTTTATTTTTTTAAACAAGTCAGCTGTTATCCGTTAAATAGAAGTATAAGGGCATTTCAAACTTATTACATAAGCTGCTTAATCCCTACGCCAATTGAAGCGCCGGGAGGATTGGAAAAATCTGTCATTTAATATGATTGATTTGGAATAATATATAATTAATTAATTTTATGTAAGAGTTTTTTTGTAATTATTGTAATGTACGCACCTGACCCTTGAGGTCTAGTGACATTAGCTATCGGTGCATTCTCCCCCTGGGCGCAGATTCGAAACCCATTCCTTGTAAAATAGGTTTTAAAAAAAGTTATTGTAATGTACTATTTATATAATAATATGTTATAATGATAAATTTATAAATTTATATGTTATTATAAATAAATTATTGTTGTAATTGTTTTTTAAAAATAATAATATAATTATAATATTATATAATATTATAAATTTATAATTATAAAGTAAATATCATCATATATAATTAAGTTTTTCATGAATTTAT